TTGAGGGTGATATGTCCTGTCTAACAGTCGCTTCACAAGGACGGCTGGAGGTGTTTCTGTTGCTTGGTTTTCGTTACACATCCACGTCCACTTGCACTACTGTGACCTAGACAAGTGCCAGGTCTAACACAGACCGAGCAGGTCTGAGAGCACAACAGGTCTCAACTGCCTTCGTCATGCCCAGCCAAGTTTTTGTGCTCCGCCGGCCCATTTGTACAATGACAAGAGCAAGCTCTGATGGACACGTCTCGGTCGGATTTTCGATGGATCGGTCACCAACTGCAACTGGACCTTATACACGAGCTAATACCATGAGCGACTAGACCACAAGAAATCCACCTGGACCTTGTACTTTTGGGGGGTAGAGTGCTTCATCACTACTTCCCACAATTCAAGTATGTAGCCCTCTCAATGTTTGAAATGGATAGCTTTGGGATAGGAACATAGTAATATATAATTTTATATAATGATTATTGCTTGTTGATTCTCTGAAACCAAACGCGGACACTCACATGCGGAAAATCATTTGTCCACTCTCCTCCGGCTTCGTATTTGTGTTGTCCGTGTGATCATCTTCATCTAAACGAAACCAACACTTTCAATATGAAGAGCCCATTTACAAAAGTAACAAGTACCACAATAATCCACAAGATATATAGTATATCTTATGTCAATATTATGTCTTATGTTTATCACTTAAAACAACACACGAAGAGATACCCATGTTGCTCACCCACGACGCCCTGACCCTGTTGCTTTTGACTGCATGTTCGAGACTGCCAGATCCATCCCACCTGCGCTCCAGAAGTTTTTGTCGGAGAGCATCTTGGGCTGCAGTGTCGCTCTCGACGTGCGGCCGCAGGGGACCTAGTTTGGTTCTCCATGGTCACTCGCCCGAAGTGCGGGCTTTTGGAAGACTTGCCTTGTGCAAACCAAGGGCAGTTCCGGGTGGATTTGGTGGATTTGGTCAGGGCAAGCGCCGCCTATGGCTCATGTAGCAAACAATATGAATGGCCGAGCACCTGGAGGTTCACCTGATGGTCAAGCAGAAGCAGCTTAGACGTGCTGGACCCATTGCCCCCCCAGATCTTCCAAGAGGAGCTCAGAATCTCAGTGCACCTCAAGTTGTGCAGAGCCGAGACCAATTTCCTACACAGATTCTTGTAGCGGTTTTTGCAGGTGCACGGTGCCACTAAATCCGGTTTGCGGATATTTATAGACAAGTGCTGGATGTGAGATTAATGAGTCAGATATCCAAGTCAGTGTCCCTCCGGCCAAGATTGAGCAGATGTGGAGAGATCTCCACATGATTATGATGTCGTCACTGGTCCAACTGACCAGGCGATTTTATGGTGCATTTCCTACATGCTGCCATGTGAAGCTCTTCACCAAGTGCCCTATAGACTTTTATGGGTTGGTACCCTAGGGATCCAGTCGTACCGAACCTCAGGTACGGTGATGTGTTCCACACACAACCGAGACATGAGACGGTGCCAGGCCCGCACGTCGGGTGCAGACTGCAGTCGTAGCGAACCGGGTCGGTTCGGTAGGAAAACGGATCCCTAGGGGTAGTTGAGCTCAGGATATGACGTCTCGAGGTCGTTGCGCCGTTGTCTTAAGGCACGGTCGATGGAGCTCGAGAGCTGTCGGAACAGACGGCGGCCGATCTGGACGAGCTGTACAGGCCGCGGGCGCGTGCGGTCGCGCGGTGCGGAGGATCGCTGGATCTGTGAGCTTTGTAGAGATCGTGGATCATTATACTGTATATAGATATATATATATATATATTAGAAGAGCTTGTTGCCAGAGTGAAAAACCATGTGTTTGGTCTTGGCTTTCCTATGAAAAGCTCAGGACGAGGCACACCACCAGAAGATTGGGATGTACTGGGGATCAACTCAGCAGCTGCAGGGAACCCCCGCAGTGTGCTGCGAACGTGAGGCTCGCCGAGGAGCACCAAAAGCTCACCAAGGACGGGGAGCTCGTGTTGGGGAACATTTTGTTCAAGGGATGTAAAGGGTGTCACCCCAGTGATTGCTAGTTTAGGGATGGTTTGCGGTGACTTGGATGTTCGCAGGATTACATGATTTGTTCTTGATCAACAACATATAGCAAATACAATTAATACACAAACTTGGAGTATAGCACAGTATAGTAGTCCTTGCTATCCATTATGAAACGAGCCCCTATACAGGTGTTTTTTGTTTTTACTGTAGTATACTGAGCACGGTAGAAGGGGAGTGAGGCTACAAAGATCGTAGTTGCGCAGCGTACTTCCAACCAACTCTTTGCAGCACTCCCAGCCCCAGAGGTTGGGAATTTGATCAATGCCCAGTGGATACCCTAGGGCTCCAAGTACCTTCTAAGAAGGTGTTTGGGGTGGGTTTAGAGGGTCCAGTCATACCTTCTGAGGAGGTACGACTGGAGCCCTAGGGATACCCAAATGGGTTGGCGATGCACCTCCCCAGAAGCTCGGTCGACTGGTTGCTCACGACCAGCCACGCGGGTGAGCTTCGACGAGCTAGGGGGAGCTACCGTGAGAACGCTGCCGTGTGTATTTCAATAAATTTCAATAGGGAGACCCCCTAGTAGACTATATGGTAGATCGGTTTATTTTTCCCGAACCTTCCAGGATTGGAACTGAGAGGTCTCCTTAAAGAAAAATGAACTGAACGTTCACATTTTTCAGGAGCCCGTGAAGATGCACGAACTCCTCAGCGGCTGCGAGGTCGTGGACCGGCTTGAGGCGGCAGTGGCGGCAGCTTTTGGTTGGTGGAAGGGGGTGAGTTGATAGGAGTGGGTGAATACTGTAACATATATTCATATATTGTTGATGTCCAAAAAAGGGCGCGCGCGGAGCCCGGGGGAGCGTTTGAGTCTCCGCTGGCGGCATGTTTGATTTGGCGGTACATGTTGACGTGGGGTCCACAGAGACTTCCTGCTGTTGGTAGGAAGGCTCCAAGTTCCTTCGGGGTTTCTCATGCTGACCAAACCAGGGTGATGCATGTGAACAATAAAAAACCACCCTCGTTCTGAAACCCCGAGCCTATCCTGCTTGAAGGAAACGATCAAAAGACCTTAACTTGAAACAGGTATGGTTGTCTGCAATTTGGGAGTCAATACTGCCACTATTTGCAACTACTTTCCTTTGGAGCAGTATCTAGGATCCACTCAGACTTGGAATTTGATCAAGCAGATGGGGTTGTTACTGTACATCCTGTACCAAGTCCTGTACCAAGCAAAGCAGCAAATACATCAGCAGAGTGCTTCTTCGCAGATCTCGGCGCGAACGAGGCACCTGTCCTGAACGAGGCAAGCTCAGCTCTTGTGGGTGGTGGTTTCAAGTATTTTTATGTTAAACTTTTGCTTAGGATGGTTTTAACCCACTGAGCTAGCTGATTGTTCGTAGGTGGGTTGAAAGCACCAACCCGTCTTGGATGGACATAGAATACAAGACTTGCAAGATGATCAACTTCAAGTGAAGTGACGGGGGATGTCTTGGAAAACTTCAGTTCAAGTCTTGCAGGTCTTCACTTCAAGTCTTTGGGGGGATGTCTTCACTTCTCTTCCACCCATGGGCCACTCTTTCATGGCCCACATGGGCACAGCCGGGCACGGCTGGATCACTGGATCGCCGGGAGATAAAGAGCAGCCACGGTTCTTTTGAACGGTTAGGATTTGTTGTTTTCCTTTGACCTTGGGTGAAGTGCGAGATGCTGATAGATTCGATGATGGTTTGAAATGAGATTGGTACTGGATGATGCGCAGATTGTTGTGCATGTCCCATGAATGTTTGTCATCATGAGATCACCGATTGATGACTGTTGGAGAAGAAAAACACCTGAGGTAACCCACGCAACATGAGGAATCACAAGGGCCAACAACAAGTTGCTGGTAGCATTGATTCACAGGAAGTAGATGTTATATATGATGATACCACTTTAAGAACATACAGAGGGAGAGCCTGAAAACAACAGCAATCGAGAGAGAGAGAGAGAGAGCCATTCAAATACACTCCAGTGTGGTCACTTTAATTGTAGGAAGTCATGCATCCATTTGTAAACACGCGCTACTCCAAGTATAATCACGTATGCAGATGTAGCCTCATTGTGAAAATACATGACAATACATAAACACCTTTAATATAATCTTCCAGGAGTCATAATGGGACAATGGGGTGCTTTTTAGTCCCATCCAGTGCGTGGATCATGGGCACCCCTATCCTCCTGGTTGGTCCGTTTTTCTCTCGACCTTGTAACATCACCTTGCAGGACGGAGAGCCACTCAGCGAGTTGCAGCAGATGAGAGCTGCCTCACAGGCTCCGGCATTTAGACTTGACGTTGTATAGCTAGAAGCAGCTACAAGCTTGTGTGGGTTTATGGTTTTGGCCAAATGAGAGGTGTAACCATGCCCCCAAAGGTTTACCTGCCGATATAGGTAATCCAAGGGGGGTGGTGATGAAAAGTCATTTGGGTGATAGATTGAGTTGTTTGGCGGGTTTGCTAGTGGATTGCACAAATCGTATCACAGCCTGAAAACGCCAACTCTCTAGGATAGAACAGTTCTTTTACAGCATTGTTCACTAACCTACAGTCCTGAGGGCCATCAATGACATCCACACCACCAGTATGCCCGGTTTTGCAGATCAGGTTTCTATTTTCCCTATGAATAAAACATCTGCCTGAACTGGAGACTGGGGAATCTTCTTGATGTTTTCCCGGCTTGCTGGAGAGCAAATCCAAGTAGTTATGGGCATGTTCTGCTTGCTTAGGAAGGTGCTTTTAGGATCGGAGACCGAACAGGCAGCATTCCGTCCAAACGGGCTCCTACCACTGACCACTTGGTGGTCTCTTATATCTTTAGGAAGCTGAGTTGGGGTCCCAAAAAGTTGGCTTGACCTCTACAAAATACATTGATAGGAAGCCTCGTTCCCATCACTTTGAGCCCCACCTGGCACGTGACAAAGCCACCGCCCGCGGCAAATACCGCGGATCTCTGCAGCTGAATATCGGCCCAAAGACGCTTGTCAGCGATCCGGCGTGCGGTTTCTCAGGCGATGTCAGAGAGTGATCCTACGAGCGAGAGTGATGTCACCGGTGGACCAGTGGTGGAGACATCTTGCCTTGCTCGGATACTTGCGGTTTTACAGTCCATGAGTGACAAATGCGCAGATGAGCAGTGCTTGCGGCCTGCTTGCGTTGTTGGATGTTGTTGGCATCGATTTGGCGTTGTGTTTTTTGTGTTTGCCAAAGGACCAAGGCACCTGCATTGGTTGCTCCTCTACTTGGCCAGTCACCCAACATGGCAGAAAGAACTTGAAGACTTCTTGAGACATTGGTGTCTTTTGACTGGCTCTTGGGAACGAAATCAATCTTTCCACTAAACAGGGGCTTTGAAAAAGTAGAAGTCTTTGGGGAATATGTCTTCTACAGCTCTAAGAATACCTCGCAGTCTACTCAGCGCTCTCCCAGCGCTCTCCCAAGGCAACAGCGGCTTCACCGGTCCTCCGCCTTTCCTCCGCACGGTCTCTCGTCCGTCCATTTCGGACCGTCCGCCAGGCCGAGTGACGACGGCGTGAGCGTGAAGGACGACACCCCGGAAGGATGGTCTTTGAAGTGGAGCTACAGGTGACCTCGCAGCACCGGAGAAGCCATGGGGGCATGGCGGGGCTGGTGAGCAGGGACGCGTTTTCCCTTTTTTGGGCCCCTTTGGCTGAGGGATGTATATACAAATGTGAAGCCACGGTTACTTCCAGATACTTCCAGTTCGTGTTCCAAGTTCTCAGTGCCCGTCCGTCTTAGAGTCTATATACTTGGATAATTGTCATTCAATGACTCGGACCAACATGCGTGCCACCTGGTTTTCCTATGGCTCATGCTGCCATAAGCCATCCCTCCCGGTCCGTGTCAGGTCAGAGTGAAGCCAGGACAACCCCCCAGGCGCGAAACGGTCATGGTCTTGACGTTCGTGAAGGTCAGGACGACGGTCGGTTTCGGCCGGTTTTGCTGTGAAGGTCAAGGGCGAAACGAGTGCCCCCCGTGAAATTCAACAGACAAAATGCACATAGCAAGAGAAAAGATGGACTCCTCAACAAGTCCCCAAACACAAGTGGTGATCTCCCCCACCACAAGACCCCCCTATTCCACAGGTGAGGCATTTTTCGTGCCAGGCCCGTGGTGTTGGAGATGCACCCTGAGTGGGCACCGGTGGGTGTTGAGCGCTTCAAGCAGCTCGTTGAGCCGCTGGCTGAGCAGAGCGCTCGTGAGCAGATGACGAGGATATATAATTAGAACGCTCGACCGGTCGAACGAAGGAGGCAGAAAGTAAGGAAACTGGTGGTCGCTGACCTCTCTATAGCATATTATAGCGTGTTTTTTCCTCGGATGTTGGGTGGCCAGAAGGGACATATAGGAAGAGTTGGGAGGTCAAGCTGTACTTTAGGAGAAGGGTGACTTGGACTGGTGGACCTATACCTACTTCCATGAGGTTCCTGACGTGGATCCATGAGTTCATCTCAGGCATTGGAGGGTGACGAAGAGGTTCTCCTTTGACTTCAAGACATGTGGGAAGTTGAATGAAGTGAACGGTGTGTTCCGAACTGCAAAACAGCAAAACAACTGACACCGCTGATACCCCTGTGTCCAACTACTTCTTGGAGCCCCACTCCTCCGATGCTCGCACCCAGGTCGGGTTTCTATAGCAATGCACGCTTCCATCGTGTGATCCCGGACTTCATCGCGCAGGCATGCTGGAGCCATGCACCAAGACCTGGAGAGATTCCTGAAATCTTCTGATTGTTTGTTTTGTTTTTTTTTAATATGCAAGTAGCCTTTTCACATTGGAGAGACGGCGAACAGTTTGGATGATATAGCTTTTGTTGGTTGTTGTTGTTGTTGTTGCTGCTGCTGCTGCTGCTGGTGCTGGTGCTGGTGCTGGTGCTGGTGCTGTTGCTGTTGCTGTTGCTGTTGCTGTTGTTGTTGTTGTTGTTGTTGTTGTGAGGTTTACAACAACCGGGACAGTCTTTTTTTCTTCGAAGACAAACGTTTTGCACCGGTTTTACAACCGTATGGTTGATTCCGGTTGAAACGAATGGTGATGTCTCAGATGTGATGTTCAGCATTCTAGCCAATGTTTTATATCCTCAGCACGAAGGTGCACAAGGTTATTGTTTTTTGCGGCCGTTGACTTGACCTCGTTCCCTCGTTCTCCAGGTGGGCATTGCTGCGGACCCAGCTGCGGCTTGGATGGAAGAGATGAGGGCGGTTCCGAGTGCCGTTTCGGACGTGATCCAAACAAGAATTCTTTGGTGTCCCTGTGATGTTTTCTAAATGTTTATAACTTACATAACTGTAGTCCTCCTGTTGCCATGGTCAAAATGTTTTCAAATTGTCACCCAACATATGCATAAGTAATATTACATGGATTGGATGGTCACTGAAGCTGTGAAAGGACTCAATTGCCAACTATGAGTCCTCCAGTGCTCCGGGAATGCACGTTTGGAGCATCCGCATCTACCCGGTTACTCGAGGATGTTCTTCATGTTGGAACCTCAGTCCAGCTTTGGAACTGGCCGTAAGGTCTATGCCAAGTGGGGGAACAGCCCCATCAAGGACGATGCTGTGAAGGAGCCGAACGGACCTTGTTTTGAGATGATGTTTCCACATATGAATAGCACTGGAAAACGGGACCCGGCTGAAACAAATGAACTCACTATTTCTGCTTCTCACACTGAAGCATGTTCGTGGAAATGAGCCCAGTCCGCAACACAATACAGAAAGGTGGCAACAACACACAAACCAAAACACAAACAATTGTGAAAGCCTATCGATCCTATAGAAACTATTCCTGGTTGGTTTCGGAATGTTTCTCCACAGGATTCCTTTCAACATGATGCTTGTTGAATCTTGTTGATGTTCGAAACACCCGCCGCGTGAGGAGAGCAACAAGCGCGGAACGGTCAGCTTCGCCATGAGGCGAAGAAGCCACGGTGTTGGCGGCGGTGTTGGCGGGTCGCCATGGTGAGCAGCGGAGCTGTTTGGGAGGAAGTTGATTTGTTGGTTTCCGCGGAAGGCGAGCTGTTTGGTGGCTCTTTTTGCCATTTAATGTAGACTCTTGATGATATTTCAACCCCCGATATGAAGAGCTTGTTCAATCCAAGGTGGCGGGGGGGCGGGGGGTGTTTATGAATCAAAAGTCTGTATTTGGGCTCAACTGAAGATCTAATGCTCTTGGCCAATCTGATGGTTACCACCTGATGGTAGTGGTTGAAATGGCCCACCAACTGGTGATGTGGCTGATCCACTACCATCAGGTGGTTTGAGCCAAATGATAACTTACACAAGAATGTCGTCACCTGCGCCCTCAACTGAATACCTTATCCATTGGAACGTAGGATACCGTAGGTCCTTATCTAAAGTTGTGAGTTAAGTCACCTTGGTGCTCTGTGTTTCGTTTCGACTCAGCTTGCCGCAGGGGTCCTGATACCAGAAGTTGTCAGATCTTCTTCAACTACAAGGACCACGGATGGCAGTGGACCCGCCTTTCATCACTGATGCTGCTTTGCGTAGATGCAAATGCATTGATAGCCCTGCAAGACTTAGAGGTGGTACTCGGAATCTGATGGAGTATATACATGCTAGTCCCAAGGTAAATCATGTTTAAAGTTTGAGTATACATCCCACCATGCACGTCTAATTATGAATGACCATCATGTACTTCTGTCTTCCCATTCAAAACGTCCAACCAAAACGCCCCAATTTGTTTTTTTTTTTTTTTCCGACGTCGCGTCCACCGCGTCGCCGGGTCCACCAAGTCGCCGGGGGTCGAGTCAACTGCGACAGGACAATCGCGATTTGGACGCGCAGGCGCCGCCGAGTCGCCGAGTCAACGCGTCGTGACGACGTCGTGGTTTTTGGTCGTTTGCCCTCGTTGTTGAGGGCGTTTCTGTGGACAAACCTGGGGAGAGTGCCCTAATTATAAGAGTTCTGTTTGCAAGGAATGACATGTGACAGTTTAAGTGATGTAAGTACTTGTAAGTGGTCGTAAGTGGAGGGCGTTTAAAGAATCAGGTGGCGAAGATGGAAGACAATCACATTGGTCAGGCATTATCCATTGTTGTTTTAAATAGATAAAACAAAGAACCAAATGCACTTGGGACATGTAGCACTTCCATCACTGCCAAAACCGTGGCAGGGCTTTTCACCCATCGCAGTCGTCAAGGAGGGTCTGGAGGCGTTCTCTCGAGCGCGACGCGCGACACGAAGCCGATGTTATACCTTCCATGGCAGCGTGGGGGAACCCAAAACCGTTGGCTGGCTTTGGCCTTTGGTTGGTTGGATTTACTGATTAATAATTATCAAGTTATTCTCCTCTCCAGGGAAGTTTCAGGAAGCCTCGTCTCCGTCGTCTTTGTTGCGGTTGGTTCTTTGGTTGCTTTGGTTGGTTAGCTTTGACTTGGTGGTTATCTTGATTCTTGAATCAAACATCTTCACATAGCAATTGACAATTTGTTGGATGTCTTTTTGGGGGAAAGCTGCTACCTAGCAAGTGGCAAGTGGACTCACCCATAACTTACATGTTCCATCATGACTAACTGAACACATTGTTGCTTGAGCCGTGCCCTGAAGATGCTTTGAAGTCTGAGTCCATGATGCACCATGTGTTTGTGGATGATGTGGGTGTGGGGGTCCAAACCACCAAGGAGACCCACCTGGGAGAACGAGCTACCTGGGTGGGGCAGTCCCCATCCTGGTGGCTTGACCATCTGCAGGTCATTGACGAACTGGTGGTCCCCTCAGGGAAGGGGCCCGACCAGCCCACGCTGAAGGAGCAGGGCAATGCGCCACTCAGACGTATGACGACGGGTTTGAAGGAGGTGGATGGTTCGGGCGGCGGTCCGGGGGGTTCTGAAGGTTTTCCTGCTTAAGATGTCTGGTGGATTTGAGGAAGTTGTTGCCATCTCCCTAAGTAGGGTCAGAGGTCTCCATGATAAGTTATTCTATGACCCGTAATTTTTTAGTAGTACGAGTATGTTTAACAGCATATATATATATATATGTCCACCCTGCTGACGCAATGTGTGGAAGTCTGAACAGCTTAAATATTGATCATTGTTCGCATGGTTACTGTAATTGAAGCTGTGTAAGGTACTTGAAAACACTGGGCTTTTGTGTGCTCAAGTCTGGTGTGTGTTTTGTCGGTAGGTAGTGAGGGGCCTACCTCCTGTGTATGTCATTTTTGAGTATGTCATGTATTCAAGGTTTGGGTCAAGCTCATCGTCCAATCGATGTTTCTTTGCCCATTAAGCAAACACATGCAGAACCCTCCACAAAGCCGCCTGCTTCGCTGAGGTATTTGGATAAGGCCTTTCCAGAGCTGAGTGAAATTGTGGAAGCCAAAGTGCTGTGATTGGTTCAGCTGACTGAATCCATTGAAGCCTGGAAGTGCCCAAGTATGTGATTTACTATTTGGCAGGTGATTTGAACAGGACAGAATCGCATGTGGACGTCAAGCCATTTGGTTCCGAGTTCAATGGCACAGCCCTCCTGCCAGCGAGCCCTGCGTGCCTCCGACTCTTGCCTGATGGACCCGGCCAGTATGTGGTTGTGGGCACCCGCCAAACGAAAGGGGCGGACGCAAAAAATGCGAACGATACGTGCGGAGTTCGCCGCGGCAGAGCGCGCTGGTGTCTCAAAGACGCCGAGGGCTTCCCAGGCTACTGCTACAATGCGCGGTTGGAATTTCTAGGAGTTTGGATAGTTTCAAAGTTGGTTTTATATGCTTCATGAATTAAGCATACGTTACCATGAGCAACACTCCAGCGCGGTTCCATTATAAGTTCTATTTGTCGAGTCATTGGGATCGTAAAGGATGTAAAGAGCCCGGCAAGTGCCAGGAACGCGCCTATCAGCGCATGGTGGACGGTGCAACTTGGCTTATATTATGCAGATCTTGCTGTGGTCTAGTTTGGGCATGTTTGTGATACTGTTGATCCAATAATCCTGCACCACCTGCAACAAGGTACACATTATTGTTTAGCTGTGTTGAGGTGGTTTGAGGGTTTTCTTGGACTTCTTCCTACAACTTCGACAGCAGTAGTTCACCGAGGTCGCCCCGTTGACTGGGCGCACGAAGACACAGCCATTGCCGTCACTGGGCACTGGCCGTTTGGGAGGTTTTGGCCACTGTCAATCAAGGATATTGAAATTTGGGCTATTACTTGCTACCAGCACTGACACTAGCGTGATAAGTATAACACTGTGCGGATTGATTTTGCAAAGAGCCACATCTTTTTTGCAGAGACTTGAGAAAGGGCTTCAGGTGGTTTGTTGATCGATTATAAAGCAGACAATCATGAACCATAAATCAATCCATCAGTGGAATGGCACCATCAGAGCCTCCACCATTTTCAACCAGGTCAACGCTCCATCTGATGGCAGGGGGATGAAGCCAACCGCGCAGATTGTATCCAACACCCCAGAGCATGTTGACCATCGTCGTTCCGGATAGATGATTTGTAACCAGTTTCTGTAACGAGTTTCAAGGAGCGTGGTCAACATCCTTTGTAACAGCAGTTAGACCATCGTTATCGTGCTCAACCAGAAATACTTGTAGCATGCTCTGTATGTTGATCAGTTCGTTTCATACGTTTCGCTCCAGATACCGACTCTCTGTGCGATGAAGCTTCGGGGAGTGTCACAGACAGTCCTACGCAGATGATCGGAGAGTGTCACTCACCCTGCATCGTCCGATGGATTCCCAGACCCTTCATGAATTCGAAAACGGCGCGACTGTCTTCCAGAAGAGACCCACATGGAACCTGAAGACTAGTGAGTTGTAGAGGAACATATAGTCTTCCAGTCTGGTCTATGTTCAGATTCCCCGTGGGTCTCAGAACCCGGATGTACTGATCATAGACATGATGCGCTACACGTCTACTCCTGCGCAGAGGGGAGGTTCTCACCTCCTTTCACCCAACAGGTGAAAGGTTTGGTGTGCCAGCACTGAGGCATCAGCAAGGCCTTCGCTTCGCCACAAACTTTGGCACCCAGGTGTGGGGTGTGAGTGACAGCTGTTCATGAGTTGGGTGTGTTTCTAGGGGTGAAGGACTGCTCCAACCCTGTTTTAGAAAGGAAAACTATACTGAAAGCCCTTGAACCCCCCCAGGAGTCGTGTTAATTCCCGCTCCTACTAGCATCTAATGATGAGTCTCAAATCCATCCGTCGAAAAAAGGGTGACCGATGTGGTCATCGTCGCCCTTGGCATGAAAAGACTGGAGAACCTCAGCCCCTTGGTGCTTGCACAGTCACCAAAAGCACCAAGCTCAGCCGCGGTGAGACGCAACATCACAACACATCTGCTCGCAACGGCGTGAGGTCATCGTCGCCTTCATTGGTGCCTTTCTGCTCGGGTGACCACAGATGGACAGAACAGGCAGCTATGATGCGGTATGTTAACTATTCATCCAGTTCCAGAGGACCACAGTGTTTCGTCAATTCTTGTTCTTTTTGTTTGGTCCACATACACAGCTGTTTCCAGAGTTTTCCAGACCATGGCAGACGGCTGATGAAAGGGATCTGCGAGGAAGCCCATGTCCATCCTAATTCAAAAAGCACGGTGAGACGCCTGGAGACACACGAAGCCTTTGTCTCGCTCGAATCTAGGATCGAATCGATGTTTGTCAAACTTTGCAAATTTTGCGATGAATGAGAGGGTGACATGTTTTCAGAAAACATCAATCTTCCAGCCAAAGTCTTTATGTTCAATCAAGACAGTTATATTTGTGTCTACTATGGCAGACAGAACTCCCGTACAACCTGAGATAGCATCTCCAGCTATTTGCAGTGTTCTTTTTCCTGCACACTTAATTGTATTGTCACCAGTAGCACTTTTAGAATGCTGCAAGGAAAGTGGGGGCTAGGTCTGCTGTAATTCAGTTGCATCCAAAACAAGATGGTCTCCTTTAGAGTATGGTTCCCTTTGGAGTATGGTTCCCTTTGGAGTATGGTCTCCTTTGGAGTACAAATCAACAAATGACCGCTGTTGCAAATGGGGTTCAATGCCAAGAGGCTGCAGTCCGGTTTTGCATGTGGGCGCCACGGCGAGAACGTATGTCTTCTCGACCAAATTTGCTTGTTGGGATGATCAGGTATGTTCACTTGCAGACGTGGTTTCCATGCTTCAGGTACTACTTTGTGGAGACCTTTGTAGCACCTGAGAGCTTCAACGCCAAGGCAGACAAGCGCTCTGAATGGCTCAGGAATCTTGAGACCATCATTGTGTAAGACGTTGATGTTCAGATGACAACCCATAAACCACCGTGAAAAAAAAGAAAGAACAAAACAATCCACCGACCTTCACTCTCCAACCTTCTTGTCAAGCTGAACATTCAGACCGTGTCATGCATGTTTGCTGTAAAAAAACAACAAAACACACACAGAGAACATGCGACCACGTTCGGACGCGTGTTTTCTTCGTGCACTGGGTTCGCGCGCGCTCTAGGTCATTGCGGGGGCGGGCTGCTCCTTCGCTACCTTGCTCTTGGAGACCATGCTGTTGCCCGGCTTTGGGAGTCCTTTGGGGTCCCATAGGGGCCGGAACAAGAGGTTCGTTTTTGGATGTCGCACATGGTACACCCGAAAAGACGAAAGAGAACTGAGAAGAGGCAAGAGGCCTTCTTCAGCCACAGGTTCTTTGCTTAATGTTGCTTATACATGATGGATAACTTATTAAGATATCAGGCGGAAATTCTATGAGTACGGATGGATGCTTGTGGCTGTGAGGTTCTGTTGGATAGCACGGTTCCAATTAAAGAAATCAAATTGTGGATCCAGTGAAGACCCCTTGGTCAAGGGGGGAAGCATCCCAGTGGTCACAGGGGATTCCCCTTTTCACCAGTCGGTTCTGTGCACCAGAATGCCTGAGACAGGATCATGTACTGGAGGGTTTGAACCAAGGGCTCACAACATTGACCTTTTTTGCTGCTTCTTTTGGGGTCGACAGCATTGGACACTTTGTTTGGCTTCCACTCATAGCCCCGCAAGCCATTTACGGTGCTTTTGATGAGGCTGGTGGTCCATGAGCAGAAGCAGAGCATGGTGGAAAAGCGTCTTGGACGGGCAGATGGACCGACAAAAACGTCAGAGACATCGACCGTTTGAAGCCAGCTGTTTTGATCGTGACGTCCATCCCATGGAGCAGAGCATTAATGACTATAGTGAAGTCGCGTGATTTCGGGTCCAGAACCAGTTCTTTGCCGTTCTCTTCGTTTTAGATCGTCATTTTGTCGGGACATACAAATTCACAAAAACCTGATTCAGGAGTTTTTTTTCCCTAACCTTGTGTGGCTGTCAACAACTATAACTAGACTAATGTCTCTTCAGGAAGGCAGGGGCAAGATGCTCAGCTCACCCTTAGAGATGGTTCTAGAGGTTCCGTTGATGCCACTCTTGTTCATGATCTCGGGATACTTCTTTTGACGTGGCAGCTTCCAAGCCAGGCCCCAAACAAGGCTAGGTTCTTCCACGTTCTTCACCTTAAGCAGTTTGAGACCGGCCCTTGAGACGACCGTTCGGGTCCGACTGGTGAGACTTGGATCCAGTGAGGAAGCGAGAAAAGGAGACGCAGAAGAGCCAGAAGAGCTTCAGGAGCCTGGGCACCTCCTGGCAGTAAGGATTTCCTGCCATCAAGGCCAACAAGTGGGGGTCCGTTCCGAGGCACATATGGCACATATATAATGCCATGCTGCCATAGGTGTGAAGTCTTGCAAACACATTGATCATCCATTCCATGCCTGGAAGATAAAAGTCAACCGGCCATCCCTTAGCTGCCTAAGTGTGAGGGAGACTCGCCATGTTAAGATCAAACCAAGTCAGGAGAAAGGTCGTGGCAGTCCAGACTGAGGCTGGGGCAGCAGTGCGGGGTGTTGTTTGTGGGGGACCTGCAGGCTATGAACAGCACCTATACTCAGGGACTCAGGGTAGAAGACATTCCTGGAATTGAGTTTTTTGTATTTTTTCGTTTGGAACTTGGAACATGCATTGGAAATCATGAATTGTGTTGGAACCACCAAAGTTTGCTCCATTCTGTCGATGTTGAAGCAAGGGCTACCAGTCTTTGCATTCCTCGCAGGAGGTTCTCGTCTAACTCCCTTTCAAGCTGCGGGCCGTGTCTTTGTTCCCAGAAGAGACCAACACCTTTGCAAATTGGACATCATGAACCATCTGTATTAACCGAAATGGAGGCTGGAAAGAACATCCCTGGCCCCAGCTATTGCCATGGTCTTCCATTTATGGGCCTTACATGTTTACATCAATGTTGGAAGGTGCCTGTAAGCCTGCAGGCTAGTTGTTGTCCCTCGCCCCTAGCAGCGGTGCCAGGCGCCCAAAAATGCTGAAGAGAAGAAGGATGATTGACCAGGGTGGCCCCCATTTGGCGAGAATAACGCAGATGACCAGGGTATATTGGATGTGGAGATTGATGTCAACTTCCACTAGTTTGACGTGGTATACTTTGGAGTTTTATGTTAAACAAGCTGGGGTGCCTTCCAGCTGGGGACCACCCTGATTGATTGGGCGAGTTGCAAAAGTGATTGCAGTTGTCAAGCTTTGCGGCAACAGACACATTAGTTATGGTCACCAATCGGGCGGAACTCTCAGAGACAGCCGTAAAGCCAAAAGTTGACCCCCAAGCATTTGTTGCGCTGTTTTATCATGCTTTGTTGAAAGCCTCAGCAAGGTCAAGACAGTCCTACAAGCTGGCTCGACTGCCGCGTAATGTGCAAAGTTACGATTAATAAACCTCCCCTAGTTAATCCGAAGACACAAGCCCACCAAAAATTGCCCAAATTAAAAGTATTATTCGTGCCTATTTCCCCCCCTAATTTTCTAGTTGGGCATCAGAAACCCCCCCCCAGTTAATCCGAGCCCACAACCAGGTCAATTTTTCGTATTTCTACTACTACTACTGCTACTGCTCCTGCTCCTGCTGCTGCTGCTGCTACTGCTACCGCTACTGCTACTAGTGCTAGCTAGTGCTAGCTATTGCTGCTGCTGCTGCTGCTGCTGCTGCTACGTGCTACTACCACGACCACCACCACCATCACCACCTACTACCTACTACATGTTTGATGAAATCCTTAAAAATGTCTAGGGCTCAGGGCCTATAAATTGCCTTATTAAAAAACAATTAAAAACAATCATTTGACAAGCTCACAAAGGGTACCCCTCACAAGGGCCGGTCCCCCATCAATAATCTGCACTATTACCCCCTATTAATTTGATCCTGTGTCCCTGGCCTTTTCTTTGTGCTTGTTTAAACTTGTTGTGACTACTACTACCTACTACCTACTACCGACGACGACTGCGACTACGATGGCTCCCTGAGCCGATAATTCAGGGGAGATGGACCTCATGAGTGGTATCTCAGACCTTCTTGACCTTGTTGACCTACCATGTGGGGGGGGTTTATTAATCGGAGGTTGTCATTACAAAACAGTCATATTGTTCAGGTCATGTTACATGTTCCTTTACCAGGAGGGGTTTAAGCATTGCCGCTTTTGGGGATTCTGAATTTGTTCGGGGTGCCCGCAGTTGCATCGTCTATAGATCCGTTCAACATGAACATCATTTGTCCGCATGGTCGATCCGCACTCGCTCAAGCCCTGCGTGGAGCTATGAGGAATGTCCTTGCTATTTTGGGTGTCTATATCCAGTATCTATGAACACAAACAGCATCACTTTCACCAAACAAGATCGTTTGTGCCAGGCAGCTTGTTGCTCTCCTGAGAATGAAACTACAGGATTCCAATGTTTGACACATCTGACATGGACGACGACCAACCAATTGTCTTCATGCAACGCAGGGCACACCAAGTACATCCAAGTACTCTTTCACATTTGGATTAAAGATCTCTATTGACAAGAGTACTCCAAGTACTCCATCCAAGTACATTTTGCAATTCAAGAGCTCTAACACTCTTTCTTTCGTCCATCCATTTGCTCCATCCACGGTGCGTCCTTCGTCCGAAAGCGCCTGAGTCACCTGGGTGTGAACCACCCAAAGGCCGGCCAGTCGCCTGGAGGTTTGCAGCTTCAGGGCTAGTTGAAACATAAATAGATCAAGTGTTTTGGAACCAATTGTCGACCTGGAGGCCCACTGGAGGCATCTAATTCAGACGCAATTGGTCTTTGCATGTCTTTGCTGACTGATTCCAATTGATCTTCTTGGCTCAATGTTGTTGACTTGGCTGCTTAATGTGATGTGAAGCTTATGCAAAGCAGAGATCGGATGCTTGTGTCGGGACTCCATAGGTTTGGATGCAAAGGTTCAGAGTTCAGTTACGTTCGGATACTATTTGATGAAGTCGTTCACAAGGATTTCACCGTGCAAGCTGAGATTGTTTAGAGCAGTCACTCAAACTTAGGATACTTAGTAGCTCAGCAAGTTCTGCAGGCCCTATGGCTTATGGGGCTTCTTTTTGTTCATCTCGCTGGAATATATTATGTTCCTGTTCCACCGTGTTATCTTGTGTTCTGCTCCAAATCTTCCACAAAAGCATCTAAAAAGCATCACTCTCCGAGAGTCCACGACTCGTTCGTTGGGTTTCACTCCACAATACTCCGCACATCGCTTTTCATTTGCCTCATGGCCACTGGGGACGAAGGAACCTGGCATCTTGGCGGGCGTTGGACCGTTGGACCAGGAGTTCCATGGGAGGGATGGTGGGGAGGGTGACCGGAACATCGACTTGCTGGAAGGGTCTGAATTCCATTTCTTCTTCATGGACCTGAGGCAAGTAACAGCAAGTGACAAGTCCTTTGTGTGTGTGTCAGTGCGTGTGACACACTGCAACATACTGCAACTTTGCGAGGTGAAAATCTGTGAGTTCCTCTTGTCCGGCATAGCTACTCTTATGTCTTTGATGTCCAATGCCTGAATCAAAGCTGGTTATTGACTTGAGAGTTGTGGTCGAAGCATTCCTGTGAGTATTCAGTATTCCTGTGCGTTGTGCTCAAGTTTCGGAGTCTTGTGTTGTTGGCTGCACAGCAATTTATGTAAGAAACAAACTGCTGTGTCCCCCCACAGGATATTAATGTAGAATGCACTGTTCAATGGAATAGGTAACACAGACACACACACACAACGATGCTTCTGCGTTGGACATGAGACCCGTAGCTACCCAAACTGGCAGAGCAAAACTTGGGAAAGCCAATCAAAAGCCCAGCTCTGCCAGAGCCACAATTTCAGCTATTGTGCTATAGATTGTGAAGATGCAACTGCAAAGTTGACAGTAGACAAAATCTATTGAGCTACAATCTAGTATTGAGCTACAATCTAGTATTGAGCTACAATCTCGCTGTGCTTATATGTGTAACTGCAAAGTTGACAGTATCTTCGTGTTTCTTTTGTGAAGGGATAAGTTTATCCTGAAGCCGCCAGTGGACAACTCTACTAACAAACTCTCTAGTTCCCGAGCAGGGTGTTCAGACAACCTTCAAGGATGGAGGAGTTATTCCATGAACTCTCAGGCTAGATCATCAGGGCCTGAGATCTGGTTTGTTCATAAATAAATATATATATATATAATTGGGTTCTCGTTTGTTCTGGGTGATCAGGTATCTTGTGCTCCTGGTGAACAGCCACGACCTCCGCTTTGCACAGCAAGATGCAGAGCTGGTGGCTCAAGCTGCCGTGCGCTGCGGCCTGTGCCGGGAAGAGCGGGTGGTGAGGCTTTTTGACAAGACCGGTGCCGAGATCGAGAAAGCCTTGAAAGACTTGGTCACACAGCTGGCAGAATTTGATCAAGTGCTACTGTGGTATTCAGGGCATGGCTACGGCAAGTCTGAAGAGGGGAATGAGGCAAGAGGCTGGACTTTGATAGTGCCAAAGGGTGATGAGGTGAGCTCAGCAGGTGACTTTGTTTACATTGTTTGGTCTCGTTGAGCCACGAAAGAACTTGACATTTTGGTGCGTGGTCTCTGCATGCCGATCCAAGATGAAGCATCAAGGAGGATGGGATGTCGGGATGCGTGTGCCGACATTGAGAGGCGATTTGCCGTCAAATGACAAGAACTGCTATGCCTTTATGTATGCATGCGCTGTTGGAAAGAGCATGTTGGACTCTTCGATCTTTGCAAAGGTTTTTTGCTACAACCTGGAGTGCCAGCCAGGAAATCTCAGAGGATTTCAGGATTCCTTGGACACTCAATATGAGTGTGTAACCTTTGGAGACCTTCGTCCACAGCCCATCACCTTGGTTGGTCACACTCGGGGTTTGGTCCTTGAGACTCGGCGCACGGTCGTTCCACACAGTTTCAAGTACCGACGTCAACAGATTGCGGCCATGCGGAGAGCCAGGCTTGTTGCGTATCATTTACATGTATTGGCACATGAGCAGATTTTTGACTTTCAAGAGGATGTCTCCTCTGAGTCCAGTGATTTGGATCCCAAATCGTCAGAGAGTGAGCAATTTTTTGATTGCCAAGAGGAAGGCTCCACTGGTATAGACGTCCAGCCTACGGACTCCTATGATTCCTATCTCGAGGTCAGAGGTATGGCAACAGAAATCATTCGAGTTTTTCACCAACAAGCAGAGCATTTCGAAAGTCTTCGAGCACAGCTCCACTTGTTGGCTTGTGACAACCTGTCTGAAATCAAAGATGTGCTTTCCCAGACTGCCTCAGGTAGCTCTGGTGATAGGATGGCGAAGTGGGAACCGCTTGATCCGAATCAAGGATGTGAGGACATGCGAGTGGTCCTAAATTTGCCAGACAAGGTCGTCGAGATCATCGAAGCAGCCGTGAGGGCGTGGAAGGACGAACACAGAGAATTTCCTTCTCAGCAGCTCACCAAAGTGCTGCAGATGTTGGGATGCTATTTTACAAAGCACAATTTCGATCAATTCAAGCTTGAAGAGAGCGTCAAAGAGGACCTGCAGTACTATTTTCGTATTCCTGGAGCTTTGCTTATTGATAATGATTATATATACTATTATATATGATTATGATAGTTGTTTGTTTATTGTTTGGTAACTGTTCAACTTTCAATACTGGAGTTTAAGTGTTGGAAGCCAAGGATTGTCGGACTTAAGTCCGGCTGATGTGAAAGAGCTGCCAGAAATACTGGAGAGTGAATGTCAACAAAAATTGGGTATCAGCATCTTGGCGGACGTTGACTAGTGTGGTTGCCCCTCTCAGTTCAAACGTGGACGATCCCTGCAAGGGCCGAATAGTCGGCACAAGGTCCTGTTGTCTTTCAGATTCTTGCAGTGTTTTCTCTCCTCTCTTGACACTTTTTGACTTGTTGCTTGTTGCGTGTTCTAGCTTATATATTCAAGCTTGCTTGGGCCTGATGGGGCAGGCACAGTGGAATTGAACGAACTTCGTCTTCGTATATATCTTGCGAAAGGCAGCTGCTGGATCGGCCTTGTTTCACCTGTGAAGCTGGATGCAGATGCACTGAAGCAGTGCTTGGAAGCCTTTGTCAATCAACGGCGTTCTGCTGGCATCACCTGGGCCTTTGCCGAGAGTCCTCAAGAAGTTCTACCACTGGATGTGTTGGGCTTCCAGAAGTGTGTGCGCTTGGTGGAAGGGATGAGAAGCAAGCTAGACATTCCGAAGCTTTTCATAGAAGAGTACGCAGCGCATGTTGATTTTTGTTTTCACTGTATAATGCTTTGTTCCCACCAAACATAGAAGTAGTACAGTCCTGGAAGTTTCCTGCATTTTTGTGACAGTGACCTTCCTGGCTTTGTTCCCAGGGCAATCGTCAGGCAAACTTTTACACAGTTGCTTATTTTCGCTGCAAGTTGGGATCAACTCTGCTGAGGACATTTGTTCTTCTGAGAGGCTCCTTCTTTCGGGACATTGCAAAACAAATTCTGCAGAAGCAGGCTAAGAATGTGTTAGAAGATTGGCAATTGAGATTGGTGAACAACTGCCGAGATCTGAAAGATGATGAATGGCTGCTCGGACATACAACAATTCTGTACCGTACTGCCTTTATGCATTTGTACCGTTGGCTGAAACCTGGCTACAATGCTGAACCCTGTCACGTAACCTGCACCCTCGAAACAAAGGCAACATAAACCAAGGTCAGAGGATTTTCTTGCGGAACCTGGTTGTGTTTTCATGCAAGGTGTTCCCAAGCATGTTTTCGGTAAATAGTTTGTAAGTTTGTAAACTGTGTGTTTTCGGAGTTCTGCGAAGATCCACAAATGATCTCCAGGGACACGAGTTGTAATTGCTCAGAGATCATCATTGACTGAAGAATGCATCAGCCCATGGCTCTGCAAATGTCAGCTCTGGTCTCACTCAGGTACAACACTCAAGAAGATGCCGACCTTTGTTTCGTGACCAGTCTCCACTGGCCTACTCTGAACTGGAGGGCTCCACAGCTATTGAATCTCTTAAAGAAGTTTGCCAAGTTTACCAGGTGAGGTGGACCTAAAATTATCCCACACGGTTTGGGGAACGCTTTCACCATTTCCTTTTGACGCCAAGCCACCATTTGTTTGATGTCACGTCGGCTTTGCTTGCATGTTTGCTGCAAGAAGTGGATCAAAGCTCCTTAGGGTGTTTTGCGTGGTGAGCGTAAAGATGCTGCTGGTCGTTTTAGCACCTATCATTCAATACGAGGAACATGATGTAGAAGAGCAAGGACTGGATTCCAGGTAATTACTTTGTTTGTATAGGCTGCCCCCTTTGTTTGATATGGATGCAACTATTGATGCAGATGATACAGGCACGAGCAGGACAGGCAAGTCCTACAAGTGGCAGCATTCTTGATCCATACTATTCAAGAATCTCCTGATGATGTGCAGTCGCTGCTTGGAACAGGAGTCATTTTGGCGGTGACGACATCCCTCAGAAAAGCAGTCAACCATTACACCCCTAGTATCCCCTAGTGTTGGAGTGTTAAGAAAGTTTGTTCGGGTTCTGGTGGGTGTGGCGAAGCTGTTCATTCAGGAGGGCCGGGTAGCACAATCATATACAGAAGGGAACCTGCAACATCTAAGGATGTGCAGCGCCAAGAAGGTGCCTGATGAGTTCAGGGCATGCTTGGTTCTCGAACCCTCGAGGTGTTTGTTTGATGTTCCAAACAAATCTAGTCTGTAGGCTTGCCCTTGCGTTCGATTTTGTCATGCATTTTTCTGATGGCTCTACTCTGTATCAGGGGTGTTGTTTGCAGACCCTCACCACTGCTGCGCACTGCAGCAGGCGGTATTTGCAAAGCGGAGACATAGCTATATTGGGGTAGTTGAGCAGGGTCACCACTCACTGAGACGGAGTATAAGCCATCGAAGTTGGGGAGTGAAGTCAACAGGCCGCACAGATCCTTATACCGTTTTGATCCCTTTTGCATGATTTCACGTTGCACCACCCGAAGAAGTAATTCAACATTTGATCATAGCTACCTTGGGAAGGAAGCTGAAGGGTGTTGGGAATGCTAATTCAGGTTTGTGTTTTGTCCCACTTCCAGATCCAGAGGAGACTGTTGAAGATCCTCTTTCCTTTTTGAGCTGATTTCCAGCAGGTGCTCCAGGAGTGCTTGCGACAAGAGTCCCCACAGCCAGAGAAGCTTTTGAAGGGCCTACTGCAGAAGGCACCAAAGCTAGTGGGTGTTTGGATGATTGAGGGCAGACATCGATCCAACAGTATGTAAATGCGTGGAACAAAACACTGCTCACTTGAGCAGCATTCAATACATCAATGAAATAATCCATATTATGCGATTAAACTCCAATCCACGGCCCAAGCCGCTTGCGTAAGGTTTTGTCCCACAGGTCAGGACAACTCAATTCGGAAGCAATACGTAAGCAAGGTTGAGGTTTCTGGTCACACTTCTATTTCACCTCATATTTCAGATACATGCCTGTGGATGTAGGCTCAGAGGATTTCCTGAGAACCGTGTCCAATGTCAATAGGTCTTAAGCCCAGAATCCCAGAAGAATCCCGGAAGACCAGCAAATGTTTAACTTGACAAAATATCCAGTTGATGCTCATGTAGATATGGATCGTTAAGCAATCCGTTTCGACAAAACAGAATGAGTGGAAAGGCCTGTCCAATACACTATAGCAAAGTAGGTACTTAACGCACTCCTGTGAGAACTGATACATTTGATAAAACGTGAGGTCTTCCTCCTCTTGGGGTTTGCGTCGACGCCACCGCAACACGGCAGAGGTTTTATCTGATGGCTTGCAGGGTGATCGGCACGACAAAGTGAGCCCAACAAGCTCAGTGTTTAAAGATCAAGAAGAGCTGAGGATGTTCCTCCAACAGGTTGCTTGGATGGGTAGAAGGTGCTTGACATGCAGCATCCACTCCTAAAACTCTAGAACTCAGAACACAGTGGCAGTAGCTTGCCAAACACATCTCCTGATACATGCATGTAAGTCCATACGTGGCACAATGAAATTTTGTTGATCAAGTATTCCAGATTAGGGGATCGGAATGATATCCCACTTAGAAAAGGTCCAAAAGCATCCAAACACTGTTTGTTCATTCATATGAGACTCATATGACAACCCAGAAGAACAACACTGGAAGACAGGCAAACGTTCATGGAACATGACTTGACAAAATATCCAGGTGGTGCTCATGTCCAGGTGGCGCTTGTGTAGATATGGATTTTTAAGCACTCCGTTTCGACAAAACAGTACGAGTGGAACGGCCTTTCCCAATAACACTATAGGAAAGTAGGTACTTAACGCACTCCTGTGAGAACTGATACATTTGATAAAACGTGTGGTCTTCCTCCTCTTGGGGTTTGCGTCGACGCCGCCTCAACACGGCAGAGGTTTTATCTGATGGCTTGCAGGGTGATCGGCACGACAAAGTGAGCCCTACAAGCTCAGTGTTTAAAGAGAAGTTCGGCACGGAAGCCCGAGGAGGAATTATCTGTGAGGAAGAAGGACATAAGGAAGAAGAGGATGAGGGGGCAGCCAGTTCTGCACCTGTGGAACAATCACCTCCAGAAAGTCGTGCAAGAGTGACATTTGCAAGTCTACGTGAGAAGTATTTGGAACACTCAGGCTTATTTGTTGTTGCTATGTCGTTCATATCGTTGTTCATGACCACTTATAGACACAGACGTCGGCTTGAACAATCTTTGGAAGATTTAGACCGTCTAGACAATCCTGCAGATCGACGAAGTACTGACATGGATGTTTTTGCTGCAGCAATGGTTTTTGCTGTGTTATGCGCTTATTTGATGAACAAGCAGAGTGACTCAAGCAGGGAACCGTCAACACTTTGGGAAAGACTCAAGAAGAGCTGAGAAAGTATTGCTACAGGATGCTCCTCCAACAGGTTGCTTGGATGGGTAGAAGGTGCTTGACATGCAGCATCCACTCCAAAAACTCTAGAACTCAGAACACAGTGGCAGTAGCTTGCCAAACACATCTCCTGATACATGCATGTAAGTCCATACGTGGCACAATGAAATTTTGTTGATTAAGTATTCCAGATTAGGGGATCGGAATGATATCCCACTTAGAAAAGGCCCAAAAGCATCCAAACACTGTTTGTTCATTCATATGAGACTCATATGACAACCCAGAAGAACAACACTGGAAGACAGGCAAACGTTCATGGAACATGACTTGACAAAATATCCAGGTGGTGCTCATGTCCAGGTGGCGCTTGTGTAGATATGGATTTTTAAGCACTCCGTTTCGACAAAACAGTACGAGTGGAACGGCCTTTCCCAATAACACTATAGGAAAGTAGGTACTTAACGCACTCCTGTGAGAACTGATACATTTGATAAAACGTGTGGTCTTCCTCCTCTTGGGGTTTGCGTCGACGCCGCCTCAACACGGCAGAGGTTTTCTCTGATGGCTTGCAGGGTGGTCGGCGCGACAAAGTGAGCCCTACAAGCTCAGTGTTTAAAGAGAAGTTCGGCACGGAAGCCCGAGCAGGAAGGATCCGTGAGGAAGAAGGACATAAGGAAGAAGAGGATGAGGCAGCCAGTTCTGCACCTGTGGAACAATCACCTCCAGAAAGTCGTGCAAGAGTGACATTTGCAGACAGAAAGAGTCACCTCCTTGAACTCAGATTGAACAGACGGAAAGGTGGACCTGATAGGTTGACATGGCCTTTGGGAGCTGCCCAATGAATTGGCGTCGCGAGTCTCTTTGTACAGGATGCTTGCCCAGCGCTGCAGAAGTGCGTAGCTGGAACAGTCGAGATGGGAGCTTGAAAGCGTTCAGATTCAGCAGAGCATAGAGGGTATTTGCGCTTTGTTTACCACGGACATGCGGAAAGGACATCATTCTAAGCAGCGGATTTGGGCTGGAATAGATGAGAACTCTGGAATCAAGGATGGAGCTTGAAGACAAGGTCGAATCAGAAGGTGGAAGTGATGTCATAGTCATACCAGATCGTTTCATAAAATTGTCTCAGGTTCATTTCCGTTTCCAACTCACATCATTATAGAAAAGTACCTCCAACTGGGGGGACACTGGTGCGATCAACGGGCCAGCTGTTTGAAAAGCGGCCCAGACAGACACTTCATGATTCAAAAGTACTCTTTATAATTTGCTTGAGCCAGCAAAGCCACAAACTTTGTCACGTAGATCACCACCCCACTTGGTGACTGAATGGCCGCACACTGTATACTAAACATCGATGTCTGGGAAAACCTTCTGCAAGCGCTGGCCGCAGGCCGCTCGAGCATCCGCAAATGCCGCGAACTGCCCCAGATGGTGATTGGGATGAAGTGGCATGTGGTGATGGATGAAACACTTCAATACAGTCAAATTCGCCATCATAGTGTTTCTGACATCATTAGACTTAATTATGTGACATATATGTATATATATACATAGAGGGTGTGCGTCAACCGCAGATGTCACATTTTGGCCTTCCTGGATTGAAGTGAAGGAAGAGGTTTGGGCGGTAGGGATCATGACTGGTGCAGACCGCGATCAGAGACGTCTCGTCCCAGCTGGAATGACGTCGTAATCCTCATGAATCTTGTTTGATTTTGCCAGGTCATGAGCTCCCCAAAAAGATCCAAGCAAGGGTATCCATGTTATATATTATACCTCTATAATCCTCTATAATATATATTAATATATATATGTATACGTGTAATTATCGATATATAATTGTTTTGGTGGCCACGGTCACACACGAAAAACAGGATCCACGGTCATCATCCCGTTTTGGAAGGACCCATGCAGCCAGTCCACCGAGGTTGGTGAAGATCTTTTCCAAGCAGCCTTTGAAGGTCTGGCAGAGGATCCTGAGATGGGTGGATTCTGGAGTCGATCCACCTGATTTGTGGATTGGAGGTGTGAATGCAGTATTTCTTTGTATTTTTAGGAATAATCTCATCACTTCACGCGAAACGGTCATGCTACCTCTAAGGCAAGACAAGAAACTGGAGGAGAACATGCCCTTAACAAAAACAGTGTAACTAGATGTAACTAGATTTGTTGCTGCGTAGGAGATCAGTTGTTGTTCAAATTGATCAGATGTTCCTCGATGCTGCTGATTCAACCCTCCCCCACTCATCATGTTTCAAACCTGCCAGACACACTCTGACATTGGTTTTCAGTTAACTCAGTTCCCAAGTGGAAGAAAGGCGAAAGCACGGAAAGGCGATAGGTCCAAGCATTTGAAGGTGTTTTAACAAAAGGTTCAACTCCTATGCATTAGCCGCTTTACTGAATACCTAGCAGACCGCCTATGCATTAGCCG